CCTGGTCGAACCAAACCCGCGCCCCGCTAACCGAACCGGCCGCCCACCCGAATCGGTTTTCCCCTTGCCCAAGACCCGGTTTCCCCTTGTGTGTGTGTGTGTGTGTGTGTGTCTTGAGGGTTAAGATAGAGAACCCCAGGCATATAAGATCGCGCTTCTCCCTCATTCTCGACAGATTAAACATGNGCAACGCCGCCGCGACCAGTCCTCCCTTCCCGGCGAGCACCTACGCGACCTGCAACTGCTTCTCTGCGCGCCACCACAAACCAGCAGGAGCTCCGATGAGTAGTCCTCGTCCATCGCAGCAACCCAGCAGGTCCCGACGACCCTCTCTCCTCTATGACCTCAGCAACTGCGGCGAATCCCTGCTCACGCGCAGCCGCTCCAGCAAGTTCTCCTCCCTCCGCGTGCAGCCCACGAGCAATTTTCGGTGAACCCCGTCCACCGCGACCCTCTACCACGACTAGCAGGCCCTCGACGACCCCCTTTCGATGCACAGACGTGCACCGGTAGCCGCTGCTCTTATTCCGCGAGCCGCGCGTAAGCCGTCGAGCGCCACCGTGTGTTTCGCCGTCACTCCCGTTTGCCTCATTCGACCCGTTTTCCGAACGTATCCCCGAGAACGGTACCGAGGCTTAACTTGAACACTTTTCGATCTTTTATGATATGTATTTTATTTGTACATGTATATGTGATCATTGTTGATATAGGATGTATATATTTGAGCCGTGTATAATTCAATTATGTGTTGATCTCTTCGGTTCGTGCGAACTCGAACGAGATCACATTGAAATGTGTTAAGATGCTGTGGATCAAGGATCTTAGGATCGTTATGGACACAATGGTTTTGACCTTGTGTCAAATTGACTTGTATATTGGGAGTTATGAATTTTCGAAGTCTTTATTGCTGCCGAAATTTATTAAATTCGTGATATATTGTGTACTGTACCAATTAATGTGAATTTTTGTGTGAGGGGTCCTCTGTTAAGTATGCATCTTGTGTAAAAATTTCAGATTAAAATACTAACTGTAGCTATTTTAATTAATTAATGTGATTTCTGGGCAGAATCGTGTTAATTGCATAGAAAATTGAGATGTGCCCCAAATCTGTTGAAATTTGAGTATGTTGTCTCTCTGGTATATTGGCGCGTTGTGTAAAATGTTCAGAATTTTCGGACTTCGTTTGCTAGGGTTAGAAATTGTATTAAGTATTCTGCAGAACCTTGTTTTAATTTTGATAAATTGACCTGATGTGGTAAATTGCTGAAATTTTGTGTCTGGACTTATTTTGTGATGTGCTGCCTGTTGTAAAAAGATTTGGATTTATTTGGATTCATTTTGGTTCAGCTTTGTTAAAAATTCAAACTGCAGAATATATTTTAAATTTTTTTAATTCTTGTGTTAAATGTTAATAGCTGAAATTTTTATATGTTGTTATTAACATGCTGTAGCTGCTCGTTTATAAATTTCATAGGTTAATTCTTTATGTACGTCTGGTTGTAAATTTATGCCCGTTTTTGCTGAAATCTTGTTCGAATTTTATAAAATTGAGTTTATTGAGTAAAAGGCTGAAACTTGGTGAAGGGAGGTGAATTTTGTGTTAAAATGTCAGAGCCTAACTCGTTGGTTTGCTGGACCATCTTGAATTTGTGATTTCTCGGCAATTATTTTCAAAGTGTAGTTTTGTATTAAAGTTTGTTAGCCGATTCGTATGTTGCCTTGTTGTTTGATTTAAAATCTCTTATTTGAAAATGTGTGAACTCCAATAATTGGTTTGGTCGAGTCTAAGTCCAGAGTTTCAAAGTCCACAGGACTTCACGACCAACTTAGTCGAATCAAGTTCGACTAAGTCTGATTGTGTTTTCCTTTTTAAGTCAAGATAAGATGTTGATTTTAGTATCTTGACTTAATGTAGGTGTTTTGAGGTGTTGACCTCACCCTGATTTCGAGACTCGTACTTGTGATTTACCGCTTCAATCAGGTGGGCACATTTGTGATGTATTCCATAATTATCGCACTATTTATTCGTATGAAAGTTTCGTTTGAAAATTGTTGTATGCATGAGAACCCTAGTCTAAGTGTCCCGTTTGATAGTGCCTTGATAAAAGCATAAACAGTGGGAGGTCACCTGCCCATTGTATCCAGGAGGAGACTCCCCAAACCGTTGTACCCGGGGAGGAGTGGAACATCTCCACTGTCTCCTGGAAATGATCGAATGAACCGTTGTACCCGGGGGTGGAAAAGTTTCCAATTACTTCTATGCCGTTGTATCCAGAAGGTTGTTGTATGTACATAGGAGGTTTGCGATAGGGCCGGGTAGGGAGTTAGACCTTGGATTCTATGCATACTGTATACTGTGTTATTGTTTTAAAATCTTTATACGGGATAACTGTGCGATAATGGTGAACTTGTTGGTGATGCCCACCCCCATTATTTTTCTGTTGTTTTCTCTTCCTTTCTTTAGGTTGAGCCGAGCTGGTGGTGGCGGCATAAAGACGAGCGAGATGGTGGTCATTGGTCAATTATGCTATCGTTATTTTATGCTTCCGCCTGCTTATGATCTGATGAACTGATACTTGACTTGGTTGTATTTTCCTGCATTGATTTGGATAATTAAGTTATTTTATGCTTCCGCCTATTTATGTTAGATTTGAACCTTTGGGATTATGCTTTTACTTAATGGTTGTTCTGGAACTTAATAAATGTTTGGTTTGTTGTTTATAACTGTTAGTTATGCATGTATAGATATTTCCTTATAGTTTTATGCTTGGTTTTATCTGATTGTATATTTGTTTAATTAATTCTTGATAGATAAGTAGCGCTCGTTGAGTTTAAATTTTAATTTTGGATTTTGCGAAAAATTAACTCTGATTTTTATAAATAAATTCGGTAAATTCTTTAAAGTAAAACGGGGCGTGACAGTGAAGGTACCCGGCTCTCTACGGAAGTGATGATAGGATCCAGGCGTTCATGGCTAAGCTTCGGGTGCCTCTCACCAAGGAAATGGAATTTCATCTGGTCAGTGTCGTCCTGCTCATGTATATCGAGCGATTATGGATAAATTGGCTTACTTTTGAGAGATTAATTTTTAAAAATCTTAAGCTACATGTTTTTAGATTGCTCCATGTTTACTTTGAAATCTGAAACTTTTTTCTTGCCTTATTGATTTATGTTGATGGCATTATTCTTACAGGGAACAATCTAACTCAAATCACTGAGATTAAAAATCATTTAGATGCCTGTTTTACCATAAAGGACCTTGGTCAATTGAAATATATTTTAGGCATAGAGGTTGCTCATTCTGACAAAGTCATTAATCTTTGGTAAAGAAAGTATGCTTTGGACATATTATCTGATTCTGGTTTCTTAGGTAGTAAGCCTGCCACTACACCAATGGACCCAAGTTAAAATTAACTTCTGTACATGACACTGAATCAAATCTCATAGATTAAAAAGCTTATAGAAGATTGATAGGTAGGTTGCGATAGTTAACCATTATTAGATTAGATATTTCATATAGTGTGCAGACTCTTGGCTAACATATGTCCTAACCAACTGAAAAACATTTGGCAGCAGCTCACAGGCAGGTACATAAAATGCACTATTGGCAAAGGTATCCTTCTTCCTTGATCTTCAGAACTTCTTTTACATGGCTTTTCTGATTGTGATTGGGCAACATGTGTTGATACAATAAAAAGTATCACTGGTTTCATGTTTTTCTTGGGTAACTCCCCTGTTGGTTGGAAATCCAAAAAGTAAAATATAGTCAGGTGCTTTTCTTCTGAATCTGAATGCTGAGCACTAGCATCAGCCAATTGTGGGGCACAATGGCTACTTTACATTCTCAATGATTTAAATATTACTCATTCCCCTGTTGTTTGCATTTTTTCAGATAGTAAGTCTGTTATTTCCATTTCGCATAATCCTATTTTTTACGAGAGGACAAAACACATTGAGCTCGATTGCCACCTAATCCGAGACAAGATCAATCAAGGCAAGATCAAACCGCAGTACATATCCACAAAGGATCAACTTGTTGACTTGTTCACAAACGCACTAGGGCCCTCTCAGTTTCAGTAACACCTTTCCAAGATGACCATGGTTGATATCCATGCTCCTCTTCCGGGGTAGGGTAATAGCTTATATATAAAATCCTTCTATTTTATTGTATTGAACATTTACTATCTTACCTTTAAAATGTAAAATAGAACTAAAAGTGTGTTTAATTCGTTAGCAACTTTAGTCTCATATCACTTGTATAAATAGCATTCTAGGATTTGATGTTAGTCACTTTTGTATTTTTCATTTTACGATCAATAAGCAATCTCAGATCTCCCTTTTTTTTCTCTCGATATATCTCTCTCGCTCTGATCTTCATGATATTATTCGATTAATTCATCCAATAATCCATCTAGTTGTTAAATCAAATTAACTGAATAATTGAGATTGATTTAATGTAATTACTTGAATATTGATAAGATAAAAATACTAATTGTAATGCATCGGAATTCGCAATCAAATATCAATTATTGAGTAAATAGGTTCTAAAAACACTTAAAACCAACAAACTATTAACAAAAATGAGTCACAAAGAAATTCATAGCAGAGTTCCTATTTATTCATCATTATATTCCCAATGTATAATTGATGATAACTCAATCAATATCCATCCCAATTGTATGTTTTTACAAATAATCTATCCCGCTCGTTGCCTTCGTGAGCTAAATAAATACCATCACTTCGAGCTGACCAAATATAATATGAATATGGCTCATAAGATTTGACTTTAAAAACATCGAAACTTTTTTGTTTGGATCCCCACCACAGGTGACAGAAAAATAGAGTACGAGGTTGCACACAAAACTTCCAAGCAAAATATTCGTTAACCGAAATTGTATGGAAGCCAAGGTCATCGTCCCCAGAAGCACAGTGCAATGTGAGTTGTGATTTTGGTGGAAGATTATTGATGACACGAATGTGTTCTCGGCCTGTAAAAATACATGAACTATGTGCGGTGTGTAAGATGTTAAGCGCAATTGAAGAAAACAACACCAGAGTTGTCATCAAACTATGCCTCATTCTTTAGAAATTTTTTTATGTCCCATTTCACCCACAAGTGCACTTAATATATAGCTGTTTTAGTCTTGGGATTTATGATATCCAATATTTGCATACTAGAGAAGATTGATTGTTTCCAAATCTAATCGAAGAAATATTCGCATACTAGAGAAGATTGATTGTTTCCAAATTGTATTCCAAATCTAATCTAAGAAATCAATATCTATATCTATATATATATAATATATATACAAAAGTTTGGTATTTACCTGAAAAAGTAACCAAAATCCCGCTACAAATTTAAAACTTACTAATCTTGGTAATTTTTTTTTTTTTTTTAAAATTGTTTTGAATTCATTTTGTGGTAAATTTGATTAATTATGGAAACAAATTTGATTATGATTTATAATATAAAAGAATATGTAGTATTTCTTTATTAGATGATGCACGGCAACATTTCAAATATTAGAATGATTTAGTAGAAAAATTAAAGTCTATGGAAAATCCCTTCTAAAATTATTAGTGGAAATTAACTGGACCTATCAAAATCACGTCGGATCAAAATCATATACAAATTAGTTTTGTCGCCATCTCTCCCGAAATTAGATCCAAACAAATCAAAGCCACACTAATCGTCCCAAAATTAAATCCAAACCATTTATCCAATTAGAGCTCGACATGAGGAGATGGGCACGGTGGAGCTCCATCGGGTCTTTTCCATGCTCGATGAATGGCGATGGCAACATAAGCGGGGAGGAGCTCTCGGGATCTGCGTGCCGGAGGAGAATCTACGAGGGATGATCGGAATGATTGATGCCGAGGAGTTCGGCGCCCAGTTCTTGGCGACATTGGAAGACGGTGACAAGGGGGACAACGGATGAGCTGAGGTCGGTGCTGGCGGCACTGGGGTTGAAGTAGGTGAAGACGCCGGAGGAGTACCAAAGTATGATTGTCAGGGTCGACTTAGGTAGCGACGGGAGGGTCAACTTCGCACTTCCAAAATATGATGAAGTGCTGCCGCTTCCTCATGGTAAATTTATTGTTTTATTTTTATTTTTTCTTATAAATTTTATTGTTTTGATGCAGGGTAATTTTAGTTTTCATTCACTTGGATATAAAACAAAAAACTTTGCTTATTTTATGTCTTAAAATGCAGTGAAAAAGAAACAACCGAAGCAGTGGGCTGCTTGGACCCGTCAGGAGGAAGAAAACTTTTTCTCTATTTTGGATGAATTCTGACAATGGAAAGCCTTTTCTTTTTTTCTGCAGAATTTTGAGAAAATCAATAGCCGTGTCCAGAGATAGAACAATTCATGTGATTTTTATGAAATAGATCTTTCGCCGGTCAAAAGGATCAGGTGATTTTTCATGAATCGGGTAATAGTTGATTTGAATTAGAGCACTGGTTGAAAAGGAATGAGGATGAAAGTCCAAGGCCCTGGGGCTCTTTCGATAGCCTGAGGGAGAAGAGAGATGTTTCCTATACGGATTCTGATAGTTAGGGGGAGGAAATGAGACGAGTCAGAGTGTTGGCAGTGGCCGACCGAAGTTGAACATACAGCCGATTTCATTGCCGGTGGGTAAGGGCCAGAAAGAAGAGGTGGCCGGCATGGTTGAGTTGAAGAGTAGCAATCCTTTTGACCGACAGAGGAGGTGTTGAAGGTGAAGGTACCCGGCTCTCTACGGAAGTGATGATAGGATCCAGGCGTTCATGGCCAAGCTTGGGGTGCCTCTCACCAAGGAAATAGGATTTCATTAGGTCAGTGTTGTGCTGTTCATGTATATCGAGCGATTATGGATAAATTGGCTTACTTTTGAGGGATTGATCTTTAAAAATCTTAAGCTACATACTGAATGAAATAAATAAGAAATCTTAAGCTGAATTGATCCATTTACGGAATGAAACAAGTTTCGAGATCTTGCAACATCCAGTTCGATGAGGTGATCCAGTCTTACGGGTTCACTCAATGTTCAGATTAACACTACATGTATAAGAAGTATGACATAAATGTGGTGGTGTTTGTTCTGTTGTACGTAGACGACATCCTTCACACGAGAAACAATGTAGAGGTGTTGTCAGACGTAAATGTATGGTTGTTGGAGCAGTTTGATATGAAGGACTTGAGTGAAGTGGAACACATTCTCGACATCAAGGTGATTTGACATCGCGACATGAGAAGCTGTGCTTATCCCGATAATCATACATAGACAATGTCCTGGCCCGTCTCAGCATGCAAGACTTCAAAAAAGGTGCTCCTTTTTTGGCATGGAGTTTCACTATCCAAAGAGATGTCTCCCAAGACGCATTAGAAGATAGAGGACATGAGAAAGGTTTGTTATGCATCATCAATAGGAAGCCTCATGTATGTTATGTTATGTACAAGACTAGATAACTGCTATGTAGTAAGAATGGTGGACACGTATCAAAGTAACCCAAGATAGGGTCATTGGACCACTGTGAAGCATATACTCAGGTACATAAATAGGACCAAGGATTATATGCTGGTCTACTGATCTGACCAATTGATCTCTATAGGTTACACCAATTTTGACTTCCTATCATACCGGGATGAAAGTAAGCTATCTTAGGGTTTGTGTTTACTCTGAGAGGTGGATCCATAGTATGGACGAGTGTCAAGAAGAAATGCATGGCATAATCCACCATGGAGGCCAAGTACGTCGCAGTCTCTAAGGCAGCGAATGAAGCAGTATGGCTCAGGAACTTTTTGTTGAACTTAGATGTGGTACCAAGAGAAGTTTGGGTGGTTTCTCTACCCCATGTTGTATGTGTTGGAGTACGAATCATTTTTCGGCCAATTCTGATATCCTTGTAAAACATTGGCATTTGTATATTGTTCGCTAAAGTCTAGCTTGAAAGGTGAAGGGAAGACCTCGAACCCATGTCCTTGGACATCACATGCTCCGCAAATGTCATTAGTCATGGATTGCATTGACTGAGCTCCTCTTGCATTCAGCAGCAGCACCTATTTGGTGAGGTCGGCTATTTATTGGCCACCGCCTCGTTACCATGCTAGAATTCATTCACCATGGTCTTCTTTCCTCAGACACTCTCTTGAGACGAGTTGGTGCTCATTGTCTCGAAAATCCCCATCATTTCATTGGTCGTGCGTGCCTCAATGTCTCCACCGGCTGCATTGTCCATCATGTATTGAAAGTTCTAGTGGAGGGAGTCATAAAAGCAATGCACTAATAGCCTTGATGAGAGGTTATGGTGTGAGCCCTACCTCTAAAGGTCCTAGAAGCGCTCCCACACTTCATGAAGTGTCTTGCTTGGGAATTGTGCAAAAGAGACGAGCTAGGACCAAAATTTTTGTGTCTTTTGATTGGAGTAGTACCTCCCAATGAACTTGGAGTAGACTTGCTCTCATAAGATAAGAGAGTGGGGAGAAAGAGTCATGAACCACGCCTAAAATCGGTCCTTGATGTCTCTAGAAAGCACCGCATTTTCAATTGGTCCTTATTCAGGCCGTGGAGAGAGAACGTCTGAAGCACGTTATAGAATACATGGATGGAGTGAAGCGGGTCTTCGTTCGGGAGACCATGGAAGTACGGGAGTTGATTGTATTGAAATGCCTTGATCTCCTAGTTTTGAGCCGCTTGTCCCAACCGGATGCAAGAGGTTACTGGTCCGATCACCGATTGAGCCAAATCATGAAGGAAGTAGCGATGGGCTTGATTATTACCACTGTTTCCTTCATTTTTCCTTGTTGCTTGTTGTAATGATTCTTCTCATCATTTTCTGGACTAGAGGGTTCGGGAGTAAAACTTTCCAAGAGTTCAATAAAATCCTTTTGGATGGACTCATCTTTTGGGATGATGCCGCATCTCATCTTCTTCTACGTATAGCCAAAAACAAAGGGTTCATGAGCACCAGTGATACACTAAACATAATAAAACAAAAAATAATCAACAAATAATCAAACAACTTCAACTAGAAAATAACGAAGAACAAAAAAATAAGAGAACCTCAACTAATGATCATAGAAAGTAAAAAAAAAAAAAAAACAAAAAAACTTAGACAAAACAAAAGAAATAGAGCGAAACACGAAAAACAATTGAATAGGCGCACAAAACAAATTCTAAGCCTTCCTCGACAACGACACCATTTTGTTGTAGTTATTTTTACCGGAGTTCATTCGAAAGAATCGATCCCCAGGTCGTATCTCAAGGAAGGCCAACTGGAGTATGTTGCACGTATATTCAAACACGAAAAAGTGAAATGAAATCCTAAACACTGTAATTCAAAATGATTTTGGTTTAAATTATCAACTAATGATATTCCAAGAAGATTAAATACCCAATTTATACCTTTTAAACAAGTTCTAGATATTGATAAAGAGGCTGGGGAGTCGGGGATAATCATTTTTTGTTCCAAACACAAAATCAGGCAATCAAATATTTGGTTACAAGGATTTAACTAAACTGCATGTCTAGAGATTTATCCTCAATAACTTTTCGTAACAAGAGAATAAACATAAACGACTAATTGTCAAAACCGAATAACACGTAGGCAATACAATTACGAACTAGCCTATCCGATACAAGTCTAGGTCAAACAACTCCCCTCCTTTCGCTTCTAAAGTTGTTAACTAGATTAGACGATGATCAATTGACTAACCCTAAGAATCAAACAACTTGCATAGATTGAACAATTCACAAACACTGTACTCACAAGAACCAGAACAATCATCCCTTATCCCTAGCGATTGAATTTAGGTCATCATATTGAAATGAACAACAATAATCATGATAATCAAATAAATTACATCCATGGACAACAGGGAAAAGAAGGCTTATGATTAATCTTAAGTCGAATGGTAAATCACATGTTTCTGTGATATATACTTGAAATAAACATGTTCGAAAATAGTACAACAATTGTAGAATTGTAAAATTAAAACCTTTTAAGTATAGCCTATGCTTCTGTAGTTTAAACATAAAGTACCATAAAATATACCTATCATAAAAATCTATCTTAAACAAAAATATGTGTTAACAATTAGAACACGGGTTGTTCATCATAGATTTGAGAACACGAGCTCAACAAGCTTACAATTAGAACAACCCCACTTCATACTAGAGAAATTTGCATAAAATCCTAACACTATGAAGTCACATGTAGTTCTCTCCTGTCCAAGGATTGAATCAATCTCATCCTGTGCTTTCTTCATTTTGGAAGGATACTACATTACTCCGTCGGGGCTCGACCCTCTGCCGTCGGCGACCTTCGCCACTCACGAGCCTGAAGGGACCGCCGCACGACCATAGCCATCCTCTTCAGTCGCCGAAACCGCCGTGCCGCTCCACCCAGTCGAAAGGCGAGTGGAACCCCGCAGCCCTCCGCTGCCAGCTGTCATCACCTGACATTGGTAGAAAAAAAGAGAAGAATAAATCAAGAAAATAAGTATGAAATTCAAAGAAGAAAAATGGAGAAGGAAGAAGAAGAAAAAGAAGAGAGTGGAGGAGATGGGGAGTTTTAATGCAATAAAATGTGAAAACCGTATTTGGCCAAAGCACATTTCAATAATTAAGAAAATAATTATATTTAAACCATCATTCTAGTATTATGCAAATAAATATGTTAGTTTTAGTTGTTTTGATAAATTTTATATATGAGTAGTATAAATGTAATAAAAATGATATTGTGTGGTGCACAAGTACTTTCCCTTTTATAATATCGGGTAGTTATGAAAATTTGCGTATAAATTACATTATACGTCTCTTTTGAAAATTTTTATTACTCTTTTGTTATAGTGGATAATTTATAATCCACATTTTCCCACTTTTATTCATGTTATGCGTTTTTAAGGACATTATTAGAGCATCTCCAATGCACTGTGAATTGCTGAATTGTAGAAGAAGTTCAATCAAAATTGTCTTCAACCGTGAATGTCTAGACTCTACACACAATGACATGGCATGAAAGAGAAAGAATAAAATGCAGAAGTCCTTCTACATGTAGAAGGCTTGTTAGACATGACGAATCATTCTTTTCCCTTTAATTACTTCTTTTTTATTTTAATTAAACTATATCATTTGGTTAAGAAAGAGTCATAAACTGCCAAACGCACGTAGAATTTCTTTTCCCTTAAATATATTATTTTATACATATTTAAATTATCATTTATTTATTTACTAATACATGTATGTAGTATTTACTAAAATGCTATCTAAATTTGAAGAAAAAATTTAATTTATAATCTAAGTCATTGATTAAATTATAGTCTATTGGTATTTATTTGTATACACTTTATCAAATTAATATACATAAATAAAAATAAAATTAAAAAATTGATACACTTCTAAAATTATATTATAAATTTAATGGTATAAGTGATACTACAAATTTACCGTATATATTTTTGGTAAAAGCGTGCATTAACATATACTCTTACAAAAACACC